GCAACCATTAGCTGAATGTACTATCAATAAAATCCTGGGTCACAAGTACTCACCTTAATATTTAAAAAAAAAAAAAACAATTGAAAAACATGAAACAAACACTGTTAATGTTCATATTACAAGTTATAAAAAAATATTTTACTATAGTTCTTGCATGTTTAATTGATAAAACAAAATTACTTTCAGTCTATATATTCAAAAGAAAAACTATATCATAAGAAAACTTTTTTATTAATGTATTTATTTATATAAATGAAAAAAAACTAAACTAATGAAATAGAAATGCTGTGATGGATTGAAAACATTTAGACTAAAAAAACACTAGATAATTTGAATTTTCTTTTAATTCTTGATTCATTTTGTGTATACAAAATTGATTCAGTCAAGCTTCAATTTTCCTTTTGCAATACAGATCTAGTTGTGATTCCTGATAGATTAATATCTAAATTACAACAATTAGATATTAGTATTAATAAAAATTTTAAAAAAGAAGTTTGTATACTTTATAACTATTGAATGTCAGAGACTATCCATGAATTAACTCCTGCAAGACGTATTAAATGACCACCATATTCACTTCTTGCTGAATGGGTAGAAATTGTATAAGATTCACTTGATCCAAATTTAATTAGATGCTCATTTAGTTGTTGCGAAATTTGACAAGTTATAAAAGAAATTTTTTTTTAAATAAAGCTTTCAATAGTATAAACTTTTTTTGGTTTTTTTTTTTTTAAAAAAAGAAGATATATCGATGTGTATTATGGTAACGGTAAGATAGACTTTAAATTTTTAATGGTTACATATAATAAAACCCGATATGCACCGTGGAAATATCTGCATGGGCCGATAAAAATTCATACTGGGGGGGTACTTTAGACCGCGAAATACGGTAATTACCACTCTGTATAATTTGATCAAATGTACTGCTTATATGTTCGGATTCGGTTTATATAATTTATTATGGTTATTCGATATACTTTGTGTAATTGTTTATAAATAAAATGTTCTTAAACTTTTTGTTCGGAATAACTTTCGGTATATATAGGTTCGGTTTAGAGAGAGCCGACTGTAAACCAATAAATTGCATAATATCGTAAGGGTTACGCCAGATCCGATAAAAACTGAAGTTTGGAAATCATATCGATTATTGGCGACGCTGTCTTAAGGTGCGGAAAAATTGTTTAGTATGCGCTCTACCCTTTCGCACATTAATATTCAACACTGGCCGTCACTACATATAAATTCCATCAAGGGAAAATCTGAAAATCTTGTTAAGCAGTAAAATCAAAGCATGTGTAAATTATGATCGCTTTTATTTTGTTCCCAATATAGTATTTTAATTTAAATAGGGCAAGTCGTATAATTGTTTCACCATTTTTTTTTAGTACCGCTTATTAGCACCCCATAAAGTAATGCCAACCACCATACCTACTTCTTTAATAATACCCGGGCATATTTGCTATTTTTCATATAAATTGTACCCAGGTACAGTAATCGCTTCTATACAGGTGCTAATTAATATAAACAACGAAAACTTTGAATGAGACCCTGAGCACTATGGGTAGTGCGAAACGGTAATAACTCGAGATAGGTTTAGATCTCAGTTTCTTTTATGTTTTATTTCGTTTGTTTATCCGGATAAATAATCTACCTCATACGATCCGCGAGCTATGTCAGATCAATTTGAGTTGTTAACTCCCTAGCTGATATATTGAAAATCATACTGTTTTACTATATATTATATTATCTCGGCAGTTTAATAACGTGATATCTGGCATTAAATATATTATTATATTTCGTAGAAGATTTTCGCGTTTTATGAATATGTCAAATTGGAAACATGAAAGTGCATCTTCTTCACGTGCCAATGAAAAAAATGTAGTATGATAACTTTATTTGTAAATGATATAAAAAAAAAATAAGACGGCAAAAGGATATCTTATTTAGCAGAAATACACGATGACAAACTCTTCAGTGTTTTTTAATTTTCTGTCTCCTCTTGCAATAATTTCCTACATTCTTTATTGATTCTTTTGTAGAATTTAATGATAATAATATAATTTTTGTTATAATGGAACTTGATGGCGAATCTCACAAAAGACTGTCGAGTATGTCGAATAGGTCGATTGGAAAATATCATGAAAACGGGATTCGCCAGATTGATCCATTAAAAATGACATCTCTTTACCACATAAAAAAGGCTAAACATGCATTATCTACATTGAAAACAGTTGTTAATGAACCTGACTGGAGAAAGATATTTGAACATAATAGTGGTGTTGTCGTTTGCATGAAGCAGGATACTTCAAAAAATGAAATTATTCCATTAATTAAGGGAGAGTTAAATATACAAGGATTTACACCTACTGAAATTTTCTCAGTCATTCAATCGAGAGATATCTGGGATGATTGGTAAGAATTTTTACGTGATCTATAATGAAGACGTATATTAATTACTTTATATAGGTACGAAGGAGGATGTATCATTGAAAGATTAAGCGAATCGATAAATTTGACCTATACTGTCATGAAAAGACCATTTAAATCCAGGTAAATATTATGATAATATATTATAAGAATATGTAATAATGATGATAACATACCATAATTAATTTGCCTATATGGTCTACTATCTATAGAAATCAAGCAGATTGACATTTTAAAAAATTTAATGCCTTAACTTTCACTGTTAATATCTTGATAAATTTCGAAGATCTTATGAATGGTCAAATGAAGGCTTAAGATCTAAGCTTTCTTTTGACTACTCATTCATGAGAATAGCTTCGAAATTCATCGAGATATGAGCAGTGAAATTTAAGGTGTTGATTTTTTTTAAAAAATGTCAATCTGCTTGATTTCTATTGATGGCAGCTCATATATATATACATATATATATTTATTTATTTATCAACATCTTCAGAGATTTGTCAGTGGTAGAAAATTTTGAATGTAGCAAAAACGGAACTATTTATTACGCATCCACATCTGTCGATACTCTAAAGACACCATCTTTTGGTGTTGGAAACCGGGAGAAATTAAAACTCGGTGGCTGGATACTTAAGTCCATTTCTAATTCACCACTCTGTACAAAAGTAGTATATGTTATTCAAATGAAAGGATGGACACCTGTCGACATGTTTAAAATACATCTGTCTAAGCGGCCTCTTGTAATTAATACTATCAAGAAATATTTACAAAATAAAAACAACAATTTCACACCTCCTCCTCGAAGTTCCAGTCTCCAAAATTCAAAGCAAGAAAGTAACTTTAATGGTAATGATGTGGCAAAGAATAGACATAGAAGTAGACCAAGTTCTCTTGGAGATATAAAAGAACAGGAGGAGGAGAATATGGAACAAACGATTGCTGATTTTCCTATTCCGCCAGAAAGAAATATACCATCTGAACCTTCCTTTGAAAAGCCAATAGTATCTAAACATGGATCTCAAGACCTTTCAGAGTTAATCAAAGGACCAGGAAAACCACATGATTATTATAATGCTGCACAGAAAGCTCTTGAATTGTTGAAGCTCTTGGCTGATAATTGGGATGGCTGGGGTCTTTATGCAGAGTCTAAAGGTGTTAAGATTTATCAAAAGGATAATGGAAAACCAATGCCATATTTGCGTGGAGATGCTACTATTTATGGTGGATTCCACCCTGCTGATATTCTTTCATACATTAATAATTTGGATGCGCGAAAATTGTGTAAATAGCTTTTGTGCAAATCTATTATAAAAAACAGATACCGAAAACTCATTATATCTCAATATATAGGGGACGATCGATATGAAGATGGCTCTATTATAGAACGTTATAGCCTTGATGGTGTGATTATAAAAATGTCAATGAAGGGAACTTTCCCTTTCAGGTAAATTTTTATATACATTTGTTATATGAGTGACGCTGAAGAAAAACCAGGCTTCGAGCTTCCATGTTAATTAATTATTCATTGTTTATCAGCCCTGACGGCGACACATAAGACACGTAATTAAATTTACTTACGTATCTGATCAGGGCTGAGTCTAGTAAATAACAATACTTTTGAAAGTCCGAAGTCTGATTTTCAAAATTGCTTAATTATTCACGCACTATACTTATCTACAGTGGCCGTGACTTCATTATCATTGGTATAACTGAACGTGATCCGGTTACTGGTACAATTTGGGTTGCTAGCACATCTATAGTAGACCCAAGAGTTCCAGAGAACAAAAAATATGTCAGAGGCAATTTAATTGTTGCTGGATGGGTATTACGGCCAAATTTTGATGGTGAAAAAATAGTTAGCGTTGATATCACATATATTGTTGACATTGATCTCAAAATTACTTCAATCCCACAATCAATTCTTAATATGATGTCGACGCAAACGCCATTGTGTATTGCTAAGATTAATGATTCATTACAAAAAATAGGGTTTCCACCATATATTCTAAGAGCCTCCGGATTGATAAAAAATACCGCGTTTAACATAAAAACTTTCCAATATGACGCTACAATATCAATCGATGGTGGCACAATAATAGAACTTCGAATGTCAAAAAAAATGTACCCTAATGGTTTTGATATTTCAGTCCAACTCGAAAATGCAAACGTTGAATCACTAAATGACGGTGAAGTCGTTCGTATTACTGTTCCAAATGGCACGGAAACATTACATATCAACGTCAAGAAAAATACCAAAGGAACTCAAAATACATTTAGAGGCAAAAAATTCGCGACTTCCGAAGAAATCGATCCTATTTCGAAATCATCGAAAAGGCCCAAAAGCCACAGGAAGGATGATACTAATAAGAATACAGCATCACAAACAAATGACGAATCTGTTGCTTCAAACAATAAGAATCAAAAAAATATAGTAGTAAAACTTCCTAAAGGTAAGAAATATTATTCTTAGCCGCGCATTTATTTAAGTGGTTAATTAATTTTTGAGTCTTTAGATCAAAGTAAATCACGACAAAGTAAACATGATGAGGTTACTTCATTTATTAATTAATTTATTTATTCTGTTATTCCAAGATTGTCTAAAACTTATTTCTCCCTTCAACGTATATAGGTTATACCTAAACGAACTGATCACAAATGGTATAATGTTTATATTCCACCACCACCAAGACATTCACAGGAAGGTTTAGGATTTAATACCAAAGAACTCACAATAATCTTTGTTTTAATGTTATTTGCTTATTATTCTGGAAAATTAAGCATTTCTTGGAATAATTAATTTTAAATATAGTTACTTATCAACAGATATATTTAAACAACTACATTCATACAGTGCGGGACACCTAAAGCCATATATTTTTTATAGTAAAATTTTTAAATTGATATTACTTTAAAAATAAACCAATGCAAAAATTTTTTTTTTTAAAGAGGCTCCGTGGATTTTATTAAGTATAACGTCTACTTATTACTTATGTAGAGGGGTATTACATTTTGCATATCAACAAGACCACAATTAGCCACACGTACAATTTTAGTCATTGTCTATTTAAAGGTTCTGCTCACAGGTTACCTGCTAATTGCCATACCTGAAACCCGCCTGTAGGTTCCCTATTTAAAGTCTCTGATTTTTCAATGTTTTTTCTGTAACATCAGACTTAATTTGGTATGCATCAGGCCTTCGGGCTACTTTACCCATGAGGTAAACTCTACCAAGACAGAGGTAGATCCCAAAACTACACCTGTTATAGATTTTTTCTGTCAGAGGTGTTTCCTGATTAGTAAAATCAATTCTTTTTTACAGGTCTTTTTATGTTTATTGCTTCTCTTACTAAGTATAATGCTTGCATTTTACAGGTTGATTTTCTAGGAATTCTTAATTTAAACAGGTATTCACTTGAACTTGTGTCACAGGGTTTCATGTCTGATTATAGGCTTCTAATTAGATTACAAAGTATATTTCACCTTTAGCTGAATTTGAATCATTGTTCTTATTTATAATGGGTTTGGAAATTTATATACTAAGCTATGGAATCCAGATCTATGTAAAAAAAAATTTATATACAATTGATAGAATTTTATTAAACTATAAATTTTACAAAAAGTTTTTGTTTTGAAGAAGTAATATTAACATTAAAGTTATATATAATTTGTTTTAATTTTTTTTTTTTTTTAAATATTAATGATGAGGTCATGCCTTTAACTTTATTGAAATTCAATTGAAATTTTTACAAAGAAAAGCTTGCTTTTAAATTACATATAAAGAATAAAGATTCGGGCATATAATCTGTGACCTAAACCTACAAGAATGACCAAGGCTTATCTAGATTTGGATGTTAGTAATAATATATAAGAGAAGGGTATGATATTTAATCTATTGGATAGTTCAAAGATCAATTTTAGTAATAATT